TCTCTTTCGAGTACCCCGACTGCGATGAGAGCGACGACGACGACAAGGGAGGCCGCGGGAAGTCCAACGGTGGTCGTCAACCTCGAGACATCAAGCCGCACAAGGAGAAGCCGATATCGAAGTCGACGCCGTCGACGAAGGATGCCGACTACTCTGCCGGTAAAGGTCGAGGTGACGAGGAGGCGTCGTGCTCAATGGTCGGCGTCGTGGAGCCGACCGTGTCACTGGCACTAGAGGCCGGCGATGAATTCAAGGCGGTCGCAGCCGCTGTGCAGGCGAACCCCTCTGTGGTGCTGCTCGACAGTGGCTGTTCTCACCATCTGATGGGGACGAAGGAGGCCTTCATCGCGATGAAGCCTGGAGGCAACGTCAAGCACGTGTACGGCTTCAACAGGGCATTGCAGAACGAAGAAGGCAGTGGCACCGTCGCTCTGCAAGGGGAGACTGGGAAGCAGATTCTCCTTTCCGACGTACTCTACGTCCGGTGCGTGCAGGCAAACCTGCTGTCAGCCGGTCAGCAGAATGACAGCGTCGTGAAGCTGCAAGATGTCAGCGATAAAATGCTGCTCGTCTCGGCGACATGAGACGTCCTTGGTCAAACGAAGTATACCGGCCGGGTCCTCTGCTCCGACCTTTGACCTTGCTCGACGAAGTCGACGTCGGCCCGGGTTGAGGTGGTGGCTCTGCGGACGATCGCCTCGACGACGAAGTCGACACGATCAATAGCTCGGCGACGCATAAGGTCCCCGTCGGTCTTGGCATCAAACAGTCGACCGCATCCGACCTGACGTGTGCCTTCTGCGTCGACGGCAAGCTTGTGCAGGCGACCTTCCCCAACCAAGGATCGGATGCCGAGAATGCGCTTGACGCGGTCCACATCGACCTCTGCGGGCCGTTTCGAGTGGCCGCCAACGATGCCAGCCTTTACTTTCTCCCGTTGAAGGACAGGAAGACCCGCTACGTGTTGGTCAGGCCAATCGCGAAGAAGAGCGACGTGTTATTCGTCTTCGAAAAGTGGCTGGCGGTGGTGGAGTGGTAGACGTCGAAGACGGTGAAAATGTTGCGTTTTGACCGAGGAGGGGAGTTTCTTGGTCGGGCCTTCACCGACCTCGTCGACGACAAGGGCATCGTCCACAACCTGACATGCCCCTATACTCCGCAGCAGAATGGGATGGTGGAGTGAGAGATGTGTACGGTTGCCAAGACCGAGCATTTGATGCTGCTCCACATGGGCGTGAAACACCACTGGTGGCACCTTGCTATGCGACATGCCGTCTGGGTGCGCAACTGCCTCGAACGGGCATCTTTACCTTCGGGGCGACGTCGCACGAGTTGCTGTTCGAGAAGAAACCGGACTTGACGCTGGCGTGCGTGTGGGGCTGCATGGTGCAGTTCATGGGTTGCCTGCACATGGTAAACGGCATGCGATGCCACCGCTCATTTTGCTGTCCGCACTCACCTGCCACTCGACCAAAGGGCCCACTTTTGCCAGGTGACGTCGGCCCAGGCTCTCTACGACGCTGTGGTTAGACGCTACTCCTCCCCCTCTGCTGCCACCCCAGGTTGTCTTGCACTGCCGTATCTCTTCCCTGAGCTGTCTAAATTCACCATTGTTGCTGACCACACGTCTCATTTGCGCTCCCTTGACACACTCTGCCGTGCTGCTCTTCGGCCAGACTTTCTAGCTGGAAACCAGCCCCCCATGTATCTCACTCTCTACTTCCTCACAACTCGCCTACCTGACTCTCTTCACTCCGTTCGAAACCACGTCCTCTCCTTAGACCTCTGCTGCTGCTGTTACCTTCCTCGGAGATGACGAGGTTGGTATTGCGTCTACTTCTAGCGGGAGGCGCCGCAATAGGGGTGGGCGTAAGAGGGGGTGGGGCGGTAGAGGTGGTGGAGGTGGCGGTAGCAGCGGGGGTGGCAGGGGCTGTGGAGATGGCAGTCACGGTGGAAGCGGCGGTTGTGGTGGAGGCAGTGAGTACCAGGGGTGGAGGACAGGGATTGGGCAGTCGAGGTAGAGCTGACGGGGGTGGAGGTCCAGGTACGACGACCAAGGTGGCTGCGGCTGGTGGTGTAGAGGCTGCTAGTCTAGGTGCTGGTGAGTCGGCTAGCACAGGTGTAGTTCCTGCGGAAGCTTTGCACACCTTCATGCTGGACCCGAGCGCATCTCGAAACTTCTTCCGAGAATGCAACAGAGCCTCACCGCTCGCAGCACATGTCCCCGTAACTTTGGCCGACCCCACGTCTGGCCCAGTCGTTGCACGCGCCACCACTGTTCTTTCGTGTCTAGCAGCCCCCTCTGGCTCCCTCACAGGTTTCTACCTCCCCTCGTTCTCTTCGAACTTGGTGAGTACCGCTATCCTCCAGGATGAGTTGGATACTACCACAACTCCTCGGGGCGAGCTCGTGGCAATCTGTACAGCCTCAGTGACTAGCGACCACCTCGCCACGTTCACTCCGAGACTTGCGTCTGGCAGTACATGCTGCACACTGAGTCTGCACAGATAATCGCGTCCGGTCAGGTTGTTGTGTCTTGCTCGTGTCAATTACTCACGCACCCATCTCTCCTCTGGCACCACCGTCTTAGTCACCCCTCCCTACAGCGTATGCGTCGCATGCACTCACGTCTTCTTGTCTCTGGCCTCCTGAGGTCCCTGCCCCTGCTCCCGCCGTCGCTTGCGCCGCCATGAACTCCTTGCGTCAAGGGGCGGCAGCGCGCCGCTCCTCACTCCTCGTTTCCTTTGACCACTTCTCCTCTGCAGACGCTGCACATGGAAGTGTGGGCCCCGCCCCCGTCTCTGGCCCGTATCGGGAGCGCTACTACTTGTTGGTTGTCCAAAATTATACGCGCTACACCACGGTGTTTCCCTCGCAGCGCAAAGGCGATGTCCGTAGTGTTTTGATCCCTTGGATCTGCACTGTTTGTCCCCAGCTGAGAGCACACTTCCAGCAGGAACTCTCGGTGCTGCGGCTTCATTCTGACCATGAAGTTGAGTTTTTTCCTAGACTTTTCGATGACTTTTCCCTTGCGGAGGGCATCACCCAGTCGTTCACGCTTTTGGCCTCTCCATAGCAAAATGGGATCGCTGAGTACCACATTGGCTTGATCGTGGAGGTTGCTCGCATCTCCATGATCCATGCTGTTGCTCCTCATTTTTCTGTTGCCGTTTGCGGTCCGATAACCCGCGCACCAGCTCAGCCTCCGGCCTTGTGTCTCCGAGCTGGAGACCTTGCCATACACTGCGTTGGACGAGAGAGGTTGGCAATGCGTCGGCGTTTCGGGTCCGAGGTCAGCTTGGGTCTCTTTTCGCACCATTTGTTGCGTCTTCCTTGGCTTTCTCACTGTCGCGCCAGACTCGCAATTTTACCATGAAGTCACCTTTGACGAGTCGGTTTGCTACTACCATCTCTTCCCCCAAGCGTCCTCTCATGTCCCCCCACCACCCTTCTTCCTGGTTCCAGGTTAACCTCCGGTAGAACCCCACCCCCCCTCTCGTTCTGCTCCCTCAAATGTGTCTTAGGTCACACCACCCCGCGCTTGGAGACCCCTCCTAAATTTCCGCCTTCGGCCATCTTCATCACCTCTGCAACCTGTCGATGTGCACTTCGGTGCTGCTGGGGGTGATGACTCTGGAGGTGCTGGTTCTCGGGGTGCTGAGAGATTTAGTGGTGGTTGAGTCGAGGGTGCTCGTGCTGGAATTTCTGGGGGTGCTGGTGCTGGGGGTTCTGGTGCTGGAGGTACTGGAGCTGGAGGTACTGGTTGTGCTCGTACTGGAGGAACTGCCACTGGAGGTGCTGGGGTACTAGAGCTGGAGGTAGTAGAGCTGGAGGTACTGGAGGCTATAGTGTTGGGGGTGCTGCGCAGCCACTGCAGCGGCGTCCGTCTTTCTGGCTGCAGCCACAGTCGTCGCTGCCACCACCTGGCTCGACGCTTCGCCAGGTTCTCGGTCTTCTGACTAGCACCAGTCCTTCTCTACTATGTCCACCGACTGACTTGTCTCAGATACAGTTACAGCCTGACTCCCCACTGCTTGCTCCTTCTCCTTACACTCAGTTGAGAGACTCCCTGACAGAGCGTTGAGAGCCTCCGTCTCGTCTTGCCTCGCCTGTTGCTCGAACTCGTCGCACTCGTTGTGTTTGTCCTTCCCCTGTTCCAAGCACTCACACTATGGCACTTTGTCCTTCCTCTGCTCCACAGCGTGTTGTCCTGCCGTATACTCTAGCGTACTCTCTTCCTGATGTTCCTGACCCTGAGCCTAACCTTGCTCGTGTCGCTAGTCCGACTGTCACTCTTTCTCTGGCCACACTTATCACTGACCCTACTATTGAGTCTGCTCCTGCGTCTGCCCTTGTCACTTAGCTCGTTGACTTTGCTGCTGCGTGTCGCCTTGACTACTTTGCGAGTCTTGTTTTTGAGTCTGACTGTCCTCCGTCCGTCGGGGGTGAGCTTTCCTTTGGCTGTGACGTCCTTGAGGAACGGCATTTTGAGCTGGAGTGCCTCGCGGCTACTGTACCTCATCTCGCTGCCATGCTGCTTGCCCCTGAGGGAGACCCGGATGCACTAGACCAGGGCTAGGTCTGCAATGACAACCTCAAGGCCGCCATGGTGGTTTCCAGGGAGTTTAACCGAGCCAATGTCCTACAATTTCTTATCAGTTGGGGTTTTAAAGCCTAGATTCGTACTCCTTATGACTTTAGGATTCCGCACGTACACTTTTAATGTTCATATAGTGGACATTGTACAAGCGATCTTATTGTCAAGCACAACCAAGGCTTTCCCTGACCATGAGGTCTCTAGGAATCGTGGCGCTCCCAAGGCCAACGGGAACAGTTTTCTCAACAACCAACGTCGAACTCATGCAGCCAAGACGATCATCATCTACAAATACAGGCGGAAAAGGATGGGAAGACACAAATCCCAGCAAGAGCTTCCAGGGCTCAGCTTCTCAACACGGCCAACCACAGAGGTTCCGTTTTTGTCCCTTCATCATCACCCTATGGCTCCTGCTGGTGACGTCCCGACCCCGTCTGCTCCTGGCGCCGCTGCTGTGCAAGGGAAGAAGCCGTCGGACGCGCGACCAGATCCGGTGACTCCCAAGACGCTTTTCAACAATACGGCAGGCTCAAAAATGGTTAACAAGCTGGTGGAGCGTACGTCGGCCCTCAAGCTGGACGACCTGCCGGCACCAGGGAAGGGAGACAATGCGGTTAAGCCATCTGCTGCTGGCAGCTCGTCGTCGGCGCCGGATGTGCTGGACAAGGGCAAAACGAAGGCTGAGGACAAGGACAATGAGGACGGTTACCTCAGTGACGACCCGGACGAGTGCCAGGACCCAGAGGTGCTCAACGCAATCGCTGCACAGGCGGGATTCGCCATCACCCTGCTGGTCCCGTTCGCCTGGAACAAGGAGGTTCCCCGCACCATCAACACGGTCCGGCATCTCCTGCTGGTCTGGGGGAAGCATCTGTCAGAGAATGTCAGGACGACGACTGGTTTCAAGCAGCTATCGGCTACGTACCTCTCCAAGAAGCATTTCGGCCGGCTGCAGGTGGTCTTCCAGCAGGAGGCTGACGCGAAGTTCGTCTGGAGCCGCGAGGTGGAACATTACACGATGAATGACAAGAAGATTACGCTCGGCTGGCAATACCCGGAGAACGCTGGTTACCTGAAGGAGCGTGCTTTGCATCCGGAGGCGATCGAGGTGCTGCTTAAGGGGGTCCCGGCGGTGATCTCTCCGGAGATGATTCGGAAGAACCTGGTGACTGCGATGCTGCTGAAGCGAGGTCGTACGTCGTTCCTCGATGGCTCATCTTTTCATAGGGTCCTGGATCCTGTCTCAGGGTCAGACACCGACAAGATCAAGGGCCTGGTGTACAGGCACCCGGGGCATAAGTATAAGTGGTGGCATCGCGTCACTGACAAGATTCATGGCATTGATCTCCTTGTGTCGTTTCCTGCTCTCACCTGCGAGTTTTGCAACGGCATGCATATACATGTTTTCATGACGAGTTTGTCAAGGAGAGGCAAAATAATATTGGCAACTAGGGCTTGTCGCTTCTACGCGCTCACGAGATCAACGGTAAAGACCTTCACGCTTACCTCGTTTTTCAGGTGCTCGCAGCAGCGGGCTCTCGAGCTGACTTCTGTGTCGTCTCCCCCCCAAGCAGCTGCTTCCCTGAAGCTGTCGGCAGCGTCGAAGATCATAATGGCAGACCCAGCAGTTTCCCTGACTTCGGTGGGAGGGGTCCGGGAGGAATGGATCTGTGTGCAAGAGGAGTGCGGGAAAGCTCATGGGAACAACCTCGAACAGGCGGTGGACCATGTTCAGTCACAGCTCCACTGCTCTGGCCTGCTCAAGGCGGGAGCGGCTACCCGGCAGAGCAGGGGGAAGCAGAATCTGGCGGATGTCCGGAAGGAGTACGGGAAGTAAGATCGCCACGTCGCTGCAAGGATCTGTACTGGTCGTCAGCAGGGGTCGCAAGAGGATGGAGCAAGGGGAGGTTAGAAGCAACTGGAGTTTTTGCGTGTATCATTGTGTGTAATAAAGCCCGTGGATGCAAGGGGCTCCCGGAAGTGTGGATTAATGGGTAACACAACCAATCTTACCATCTGCGGGGTCAATGTGAACGGCCTCGGAAGCAACGGAAAACGAAGCAAGCATCGGCAATGGCTGCGCAGTGTAGCGGACATAATAGTCTTGTCAGACACACGGATCAAAGCAGATCATAACTTCCGGAGCGAGCTGAAACCAAAGACATGGGCTGCCGCGAGCCCAACCCAAGCGGCTGGGGGGGTGGCGATCCTCGCCTTCGCAAAGCACATAAGGTTCTCGGACGTCTCGGTGGACCCATCTGGGAGACTGCTCGGGGTGACAGTGGAAGGGGAAGAAGTGGCTTTCAGACTGATAGCGGCGTACCTCCCGGCACAGGCATGCAATAGGGCGAAGTTCCACACCGAGTGCTTGGTCCCTTTCGTTCGGATGCAGCCGACAACAACGCACCTGGTGGTGGTGGGGGACCTGAACATTATCGCCGACCCAGACCTGGACAAATCATTAGGGATAGGGACGGGAAGGGAGAATCAGAGGTTCATCGGTCTGTGGCCGTCGCATGATCTTCGCGATGCCTTCAGAGCGCTGCACCCCACGGAGAAGGAGTACACTTTCCGAGTTAAGGCGACGCAGGCGAGGTCTCGCATCGACAGAGCTCTGATCTCGACGTCGCTGCTCGGCAACCTGCTGGAGGCAGGCCACGCGGAGGTCCCAAGGAAGCTGACGGACCACTGGTTCGCTATTCGCCTGTCCTTGCGCATCGCCTCATCGCAAGAGTACGGACCGGGCCTCTGGAGGTTTCAGGCAACACGGAAGGATAAAAAAGGGGTGCGGAAGGCAATTGAGAAAGTGACCAAAGCAGCAGCCGCAGACGGTGGTGTCCCGCTGGAGCAGGTGATCTCACGTCTCACGGCGGGGCTGAGGGCGCACGAGAAAGAGGAGCGGAAGCGGGTTGTAATGACGCAGCGACATCTCACTAAGGAAGTGGAAAAGCTGAGACACGTGATGATGGGAGGGCCAACGGACGAAGCGATACAAAGGGCCCTGCTAGCCAAGGAGGAGCAGCTGGAGTCTTACCGGGAAAGTGACAGGGAGAGGTTGGAGGTTTTCGCGGGACTTAGAGCGGAGCTGCAAGGAGAGGTTCCGTCACCTTATCTGTCTGCCAAGGTGAAGATGAGGAAAGAGCGGACAATCATCAACGAGGTGATTTACAAGGGGAGGCGGTTCAGAGGCTCAAAGGAGGTACTCGAGGCGGCGTCGGCACACTTCGCTGAAGCTTTCAGCAACGCCGGCGATGTGGCGGCGCTACGGCAGCCTTTTACAGTGGACAGAACATTACCGGAGGAGGCGACGAGGAGGCTCGCAGCCCCGTGGACAGAGTCGGAGGTGAAATCAGCGCTGACAGGGTTGCCGAGGGGTAAATCGCCAGGGCAAGATGGTCTTCCGGCAGAGCTCTTCGTGTCGCATTGGATCTGCTGGGGGGGGCCTTCATGGACTTCGTCCGGGCTTTTGAAAGCACAGGGAAGCTGACGAAGTCGATCACGACGGCGGTGACGGTCCTGCTGCATAAGAAGGGGGAGAAGGATCAGCTGATGAACTACCGCCCCATCATGCTGTTGAACACGACGTATAAGGTGCTGGTGAAGGTCATGGCGAACAGACTTAAAAAGAAACTTCACCAGATAATCTCGGCAGAGCAGCATGGCTTCATCCCAGGGCGGAGCCTGGCAGATGCGGTAGCGGTTGTAGCAGACGCGATCGAGGCAGCGGATAACGACGGCGAAGACTGGTATCTTCTGATGGTGGACTTCCAGAAGGCGTACGACACAGTGTCGCGCCCGTACCTCTTCGAAACGTTGCGAAAACTGGGGTTACCTGCAAAGTTTATACAGTGGGCGGAAGGGCTACATCGAGGGTCAGGAACAAAGATTGCAGTGAACGGATGGATCGGAGAAAAGGTGGAGATGCGAAGGGGGGTACGGCAAGGGTGTCCGCTGGCACCTTACCTTTTCCTCTGCGCGCTGGAGCCTCTGTGCTCGGAGATCAAGAAAAGAGGACTGGGGGTCAAAGCGGAGGAGGGAGAGGAGTTGGCGTATGTGGGCTACGCGGACGATACGTCGCTACTTCTCCGCGGTGCAGAGCAGCTCCACTCGGCGGCGGAAGCGCTCGAGTGGTTCGGAGAGGTGTCAGGCCTGCACACGAACCGCGAAAAGTCAATCGTCATGCCGCTCGGGCGGAACAAGGGGAAAACGTCACTTCCGGGGGTCAATTTCAAGTTGGCAACAGACGGGGAGCCGGAGCGCCTGCTTGGGGTCTGGGTCACACCGAACGGAGATGCGACGCCGTCCTGGGAGAGGGCGTGGGAACGGGGGAAGAAGGAGCTGGTCAAATGGGAGAACCAGCATCTGCTCACAGCGGCAAGAGTCACGGTTATAAACAGCTACATCATGCCGATTTTCCTTTTCCAGGCGCAGATCTACCCGCCGCCGGAGGAGCTATGGGCCAAAATAAAAAAGACCTGTGACAATTATGTGTCCAAGGGGCAGGCCACTGCAGAGAAGATCTTTGTCCTCTGGAGCAGGGAGCTGGCGCGGCTGCCGAAAAAGGAAGGGGGCCTGGGGCTCGTGGATCCGAAGGCACGGCTGGACAGCTTGGCGATCCGAATGGTGGGGAAACTGCTGACGGAGAAGAATGTCACGAAGAAGTGGCTGGCGGAGAAGGCGGCTAAACTGCCGCAAGGGATGGGTACTCTGTACGCACACAAATCCGCAGGCAAGCATTAGGAGAGGGGCAGTCAGAGGTGGAAGGCAGTGGTAGAGGTTTTCTGGGACTCGCCACTCACCGACCTCCCGGCACCGGCAAATGGATGGGAGGTGGAGCAGGTTTTTTTTTGCTTCAACTGCCGCATCATGTTCCGGGGTAATTGCCCGTTCGGCAATCAGATGGGGACGACTGCCATCCACAAAACCAAGATCGGGGACCTGCTGGAGACCAAGGAAGACGAAGGAAGGGGGATTAAGGGGATTAAGGAGTTGAGGGGTTTTTTTGGGAGCGTGGCGGCTGCCAGATGGGCAACAAACGCTTTTAAGGCGGCACCAAAGGAGTGGAAAACGATGCTTGCGGCGCCAAGAACAGCGGTGACGGTGGTGGCAGCTGCAAAGGTGGTGCGCACGGTTTTTCGGCGCACACAAGAAAACATGTATTGGACGGTACGGGGTGTCAACAGCGACGGAAGAGTGGCGACGGACGACCTAAGGTGTACTGACGACACAAACCTGGTAGCCCCGCTGAGGCCCATCGCAGTGAACTTCCCGGTCAAGGACGTGGTGCCGATGGCGGTCAAGGGCAATACAGTCCTGGGCGTGATGGGAAATCCGCGGGCGAAGCTGTGCCAAACCAAACTGGTTGACGAGGACATGAGGCCGGCGGCGCCCAGGGTGTTACGTAGGCTGCTCACGGGCCTGACGACGGAGTCTAGAAGAAGGGGCGAGTGGGAGGAAGACTGGGGAAGGAAAATTGACTGGAAAGTGGTGCTGCAAAGGCGCGACTCTCTAGTCGTCCCATACAGAGCAAGGGACGTGGTGCTCAGGATGCACAGCAAGAACCTCCAGGTCGGAGGGAGGCTGGTTTTCCTGGGCCCCGGGGCAGTCTGCCCGCACTGTGGAGCCCCTGAAACCCTAGACCACTGCATGCTGAGCTGCCCGGTGATCCAACCGGACATCGGCGCGCTGCTCAGCTCGCTTCAGAAGACAGACCCAGGCGTGCAGATGCGGTCTTTGGGCGACATGCTGTTCCAGGAGGGAGCCACGAAGTCGGGATTTCCGGAGACAACGCTGACAGCGGTGACGATGCGACGTATTTGGCTGGCCAGGGTGGATGCAGTGTACAAGAATGAAAGGTTCCAAAGGAAAGTGGCGAGGGCGGCGATCTGCAACTTCATGAGGCATGCGCGGATTTACAGGGCAGAAAGATCCAAAAAAGGCAACCAAGATGCGGTGGCAAAGGTACCACGAGACCCGTGGCGGGGGTTGGCAGCGGATGAGAGAGCGGCGATAAGCAGAATCTGCAACCCAGGAGAGCAGGCCACGTGGAAGGATGATTTTCTCTCCATCTCGCAAAACCCTAGGACATTCCACCGGCCCCCATAGAAGCTGAGAGGAGAGGGGCAACGCGGCTTAAGGCCGTGGGGCTGGTCCTCTCCTGAATACAGTTACGACTAGGAATGTATTTGCATTTGTTGACTCCTATTGAGATCTAGAAACTCTTAAGCACACCTTTAATACACTCTAGGTAGTCCCCACGGGGTCACCTCCAAGGGTCCTCGGGTGCCTGGCAACGCCAGCCCCTAACCAAGGGTCCGTGTTTGTAGAGGGATTTTCCTTAGTGTAAAAACGGTCGTGTGCACTAAGAGCATTCCCAAGCTCAATTGCGCAGCGTTGACGAACGATAGGTGCGTGTGCAGAAAAGCTCCTCGCGTCAATACGTCGATAGAGCAATTTTCATTCACAAAAGGATTGATTACAACCAAGCACAAGCATGCATATATATTTCACCTAACACACATGCAAAGGAAAGTGGCAAACAGTTGAAAAACTGCATTTCTAAGACTTCGTCGAGTAAGCAATGAAAACGGTTGTTCAACATCTCCTGCGTTTGGCTTGATCCGCCTCTGTAGGAAAACCGTCTTCAAATTCCATGTCCCCCAAACGCCTCTGCTGACTCCACTCGCGAACGCACACGTAAAATCATGAACGCTCGTGTGAATCACCGTTTTCCGTTGTAAAACGGATTTTACCGTTTTGCACCTGAAACGAAATCATCAGGTTACGTGCGCGACATTTCTGGCGAAGATTCATGTTCGCCACGTCAGAAAAGTCAAG